GTCTTCTTCTAACCTTTTCAGGAATTGCATGACATTGGTGAACCTACCTACCTGAATGCAATATACTCACACACATTAACAACAACAACAAAAAAAAAGTGTGTGTATGTGTGTGTGTGTGTGTGTGTGTGTGGCTGGCTGGCTGCCTGGCTGGTTGTTTTTGTGTCTGGGTATATGTAAGGGTACATGTGTTTCATGAAAGGCATGTGGACACAATGAAAAGGTGCCATTGCAAAAACTTAGATGATATAAAATGATCCCTGACCTATGTGCTCATGGAGACAAGAGATGGTATAATGGTTTTAATGAGAATGTCCCCATAAGCTCCAAGTATTTGGACGTTTTGTCCCTGGTTTGTGGTGCTGTTTTGTGAAGTCTCAGAAGTTGTGGTTATGCTGGAAGAAGCAGATCACTGTGGGTGGGCTTAGAGAGTTCTTAAGCCTTGTTGGATCTCGAGTTGTTCTCTTGCTTTCTGTGCCTGCTGGAAGATGTGAGCACTTAGCTTCTGCTCCTACTCCAACCATTTCTGTCACCATGCCTCACTGCCATGATGAACTCTTGCTCCTTAGGAACCATAAGCTAAATAGATTCTTCTTTTTATAAGTTCCCTTGGTCGTGGTGTTTCTATCACAACAACAGAAAAATTAATACAGATGGATTTAGAGATAGTAAGCAGGAGTTTTGTTATGTTGAATGCAGGAATGAAAATGAGGCAGAAATCCAGTGTAACTTCTATACTTCTTCCTTAACCATAAGAAAATATCATGTAACAAACTAGTATGATAAAAACAAGATATTGGCTTAAATTATTGAGTTTGATGTGCCTAGAAGAAATCAAGCAGTAGTATCCTGCAAACATTGCATAGGTAAACATTGTGTATAAACTAATGGGAAAATTAACTCATTCCTTTATTTAATCAGTAAATCATTATTGATTAAGTGACTACCAAATGGAAGTGAATAAATGGGAAGGGAGTAAAACAACATAAATAAGGGAATAAATGGAAGGGAATAAAATAACACAGATAACAGAACTAAGTAGCCATACATTAATAGAGAATGATCAGTCTTAATTTAGATGAAGCAGTTAGGAGATCTAGATAGAAATGGTTTCAAAGTAAACGATGAGAGATGGGCATGGTGGTGCATGCCTATAATCCTAGCACTGAGGAGGCAGAGGCAGTCAGATCTCTGTGAAATCTAGGCCAGGCTGTTCACAGTGAGTTCCAGGCCAGTTGTGGCTACAGAAGACCAAAACAAAAAAAAAA